GGGGGTTTTTTGGTATGAGAAATCATAATTTGGTATCTAATTTAATGTATCTTTTAGAGGGCGCCACATAAGCCACATGTGTGGCATAAATGTACGCTAAACTTTTTTGCCCATCAAGGTAGCGCTCTTTTGGGAAGAAAATATTAAAGGCACGGCATTGTAAGAACAAAAATGTATACTTGTTAACAACCTCTAAACTTAACGGTTTTCGAGATAATGGAATTTTAAAAATCGGCTGCATAATTCTTTATTACGATAAATAGTAACGTAGTAGACGGAAGTCATGAATGATTTTAACAGCTAAATATCCTTGTTTTCATAATCTATGACGTTTGAAAAAGTTTTAATTGAATATTTGAGATAATTAAGGAATAGCAGAAAGTGCCGGGACAATAATTTTTCTAATACAGAAATGAGAGATATGGCTATCTACTATTTACTGCCAGCAATATTTCAACGGACGTGCTGCGAAATGGGAATATTTCAGAAGATATCCAAACAGACTGCAACCTAATCACCAAACATTTGAAAATCTATTTTGGAATTTAGGCGAAAGTGGTTCATTTCGTCCTAAACGTGATAATTTAGGTCGACCGAGAATCATTACGCCTGATCAAGATGAAATTGGTTCACGTTGCAGATGATCTTCAAGTTAGTACAAGAAGGTTATCTTCAGCTTTAGGAATCAGTAAAACTTCAGTTTTAAAAAGACTAAATGTCGATAAATATCACCCCTACCATTTTACGCCTGTGGAAAATTTATTGCCAGCAGATCTACCATTATGATATCAATTTGCAAGTGATATCCAAAATAGGCAAAATCTTGACCCCACCTACCTTTATTAACCTTCCGTCAGTGCCATGAGGATTTTGTGCACTGTTACTGCAGCCGGACTAGGAGTCCGCACTCCAAAACATACTTTTTGAATAATTTATTATCAAAATTTAATTTTAACTTAATTACTTTGTTGTTTATTAGCATAAAAATACAAAAAGGACTAGACATTTTTTATTCTGAATCACTAAAAAAACATGAAACTGCAACGCATGCTCTTTTTGATTATACAAGAAAACGATTATAAAAAAAACAGAGAAAATATATTATAAAAAACATAAAATCTTTTTTACTGATAAAAAAAACTACTGTGAATATAATCATTATTTTATTTTACGGTATTCAGCAGACTCAAGTGATATGTTCCAGGCACATGAACTTGCCACATGTTCTACATGAAAATCGTGTTGGCCTGTTCTTTTTTCTGTCACAGTAGTCACATCTTCTATCTCGGAATCCGATATTTCTTGTTCCGTATCTGAATTTTCTACACGTTCTTCAATTCTATCTTCTCCCAAATCTTCGTCTAAATCATCTACTTTCTCTTCGTCTGACTCCTCTTGTAAACATTGTAACATAAGTTTATTTAACCTTTCCTGTTCTCTTTCGTAATCACCCATTTATACAGTAAAAAAACATTAATTGTTTAAAAAATTATAATAAAAAAAANATCTTCAAGTTAGTACAAGAAGGTTATCTTCAGCTTTAGGAATCAGTAAAACTTCAGTTTTAAAAAGACTAAATCTCGATAAATATCACCCCTACCATTTTACGCCTGTGGAAAATTTATTGCCAGCAGATCTACCATTATGATATCAATTTGCAAGTGATATCCAAAATAGGCAAAATCTTGACCCCACCTACCTTTATTAACCTTCCGTCAGTGCCATGAGGATTTTGTGCACTGTTACTGCAGCCGGACTAGGAGTCCGCACTCCAAAACATACTTTTTGAATAATTTATTATCAAAATTTAATTTTAACTTAATTATTTTGTTGTTTATTAGCATAAAAATACAAAAAGTACTTGACATTTTTTATTCCGAATAACTAAAAAAACATGAAACTGCAACGCATGCTCTTTTTGATTATACAAGAAAACGATTATAAAAAAATAGAGAAAATAAATTATAAAAAACATAAAATCTTTTTTTACTAATAAAAAAACTACTGTGAATATAATCATTATTTTATTTTACGGTACATAGCAATCTGAGCAGACACAAGTGATATGTTCCAGGCACATGAACTTGCCACATGTTCTACATGAAAATCGTGTTGGCCTGTTCTTTTTTCTGTCGTAGTAGTCACATCTTCTATCTCGGAATCCGCTATTTCTTGTTCCGTATCTGAATTTTCTACACGTTCTTCAATTCTATCTTCTCCCAAATCTTCGTCTAAATCATCTACTTTCTCTTCGTCTGACTCCTCTTGTAAACATTGTAACATAAGTTTATTTAACCTTTCCTGTTCTCTTTCGTAATCACCCATTTATACAGTAAAAAAACATTAATTGTTTAAAAAATTATAATAAAAAAAAAATCAAATACCTTGAGTCTTTTCAAAAAGTACACTTAAAAACACTTGATGTCAAAATGAGGATAGACCACTGCCACCGGACTCTCATTCCGCATAAGCTTGTATCTTCTGTTCTAATTCACTCTTGCGCATCACACGCTAGATTGGTGTTTATAGCAGCTCGAGGAATACTAGCATGCACTTAACCGAGTGAAGGGGGAGCGCTATGTAATGATGAGTATTCAGATCGAGCGGAGCGGACTCTGAGTCCGCGCAGCAGTGACGGAAGGTTAATAGAATATTATTTACGGACGAGGCAACATTTAGCCGCCGTGGTATTTTTAATTTAAGAAATAATCATATCTGAGAAATTGAAAATCCTCATTTTAAAAGAGAAAGACATTTTCAACACGAATTCAAAATAAATGTATGGTTTGGGATCATTGGTGACCATATTTTAGGGCCATACGATTTCCCGCATACTTTGAATGGTGAGCACTATTTACATTTTTTACAAAATGACTTCATTGATCTTTTGGAAGAATTGCCACTACTAAATTTCAGGCAAAATATGTGAATTATACAAGATGGTGCACCTCCTCATTATACGAGAGAAGTTAGAACATATTTAAATACTAACTTTTCTGAACGCTGAATTGGTCGTGGTAGTCATTTCCATTGGCCAGCACGTAGCCCAGACTTTAATCCTCTCGATTTTGGCGTATGGGGCGCAATGAAACAACTTGTTTATAAAAGTCCCATAAATACTCGCAACCAACTTTGGGAAGAAATAAATGCAACTGCAGTTTCTTTTGGACCAATCATGTTATTTAATATGAGGCCATCTTTTATGGAACGTATGGATAAATGCATCGAAGAGAATGGTGGACATATCGAACACTTACTTTGACATAATTAAACTTGTAATGTTAGTTAGCTTAGTTTTTTCTTTTCTTAATATGTGTAAAATTCATTTCTAATTATGATTATTTAGCTTATATTTTAACTGCTTTTTAATTTTTAAAAATTTTTAAATTTTTGATGTCAACACCTACTATTACGTTAATATTCATCCTGTTGATGTAAAAACATGATAAGCGTATACGACTTCTACGTTAATATTTCTCGTAATGAATTAAAGAAGAATTATGCAGCCGATTTTTAAAATTCGATTATCTCGAAAACCGTTAAGTTTAGAGGTTGTTAACAAGTATACATTTTTGTTCTTACAATGCCGTGCCTTTAATATTTTTTTCCCAAAAGAGCGCTACCTTGATGGGCAAAAAAGTTTAGCGTACATTTATGCCACACATGTGGCTTATGTGGCGCCTTCTAAAAGATACATTAAATTAGATACCAAATTATGATTTTTCATGGCAAAAAACCCCTAGTTAATTTTTTTTTGTATAAATGTCCAAAAACGTTCAAGTTATTGCGAAAAATAAATTTTGAAATTTCACTTTTAACACCCTGTATCCTTCTTATTATCAATATTTTATTAAGGCAAGTTGGCTCAAATCGTAATATTTTAAAGTCACCAATCTACCATACTTCTATGTACCATTACTTAATGACCACCCTGTATATATTTCTTTGGTGATTTTATTGTATTTATAATAGTATTTAAAACAAAAAATTATATATATTTTCCCTACGAAACAAGTATTTCAATGTTTTTAAAATTGCTCTGGATTTATTTAATGTTGTTGTCGAAAACGCCTGGTTTTCCGAATAAAACGGAAGCCTTTTTTTCTTAGAATTCTGAGATTTTCAGTACCCGCATCTTCGCCACTGGTTTATATACTTGTATAAAGATTTAGTACTTTTATTTAGTCAAGCCACTGGATCATGTTTCATCAGTCTACGTTAAACAGAACTTCAGAAATATTTATGTAAACGCTACTATTCAACTTTAACACGTTGTATCTCGAAAACTGAGACAAAAGTTTAATATATTCAAATTGCATTAATTCCTGTAAATCATTTTTGTAATTTTAGAATTTAAAATGTAGGTAAGTAATAACTAAATAATAAAATTACTTCAAGCTGAATCATGAGATCTTCTGAAGCAGTGACATCAAAATTAACTTTTGGGGATGTCGGACCTCCCTCCATCATTGAGGAACTGTATAGCGGCGTTAATTCTTCTGAGGGGGAGTCTCTTTCAAAAACTGAATCTTCTAGTTGAGTTTCATACGGCAGTCCCAGAGTTTTACTTTCATATGACATGTCTTGAAACAGATCTGCGTGTTGTTGTGACTGTTGGCTTTGAAGTGACTCTGTCGTTGTCTCTAGTGGTGTCCCTGTAAATTCCACTTGGGGTGTCCCTTGGGGTGTCCATTGAGTTGTCTCCTGTTGTGCCCCTCGAGATGTGCCTAGAGATGTTCCTACAGGTGTCCCTGCAGGCGTCCCTCGAAGTGTCCCGCCAGGTGTTCCTCGAGTTGTCTCTAGAGGTGCACCTCGGGATATGTCTAGAGGTGTTCCTACAGGCGTCCCTACAGGTGTCCCTGCAGGCGTCCCTCGAGGTGTTCCTCGAGGTGTTCCTCGAGGCGTTCTTCGAGGCGTTCCTCGAGGTGTTCCTCCAGGTGTTTCTCGAGGTGTTCCCCGAGATGTCTCTAGAGGTGCTCCCAGAAGTGACTCTCCAGTTGTTTCCAGTGGTGCGCCTCGAGACGTCCCTAGAGATGTTCCTACAGGCGTTCCGACAGGTGTCCCTCGAGGCGTCCCTCCAGGCGTCCCCCGAGGTGTCCCGCCAGGTGTTCCTCGAGTTGTCTCTAGAGGTGCACCTCGAGATATGTCTAGAGGTGTTCCTACAGGCGTCCCTACAGGTGTCTCTGCAGACGTCCCTCGAGGTGTTTCTCTAGGCGTCCCTCGAGATGTATCTAGAGGTGCTCCCAGAGGAGTCGCTAGGGGTGGTTTCTCTGGAGATTGCATTCTAGATGATTGCTCTAACGTTTGACTCTGAGGTGTTTGGTCTAAAGACCGTCTTTTAGGTGATTGCCCTATCCTTTGACTTTGGGGTGTCCCTACAGGTGTTTTTTCTATAAGTCGGCTTTTGGGTCCTTGAGATGAGAGGTCTGGAGATCGCCCTTTAGGTGACCGATGTAATAGCGATCCCGGAGGCGTCCTTAAAGGTGTTTGTACCGAAGGTTCTGTTTTTGGAATACTAGATTGCTCTAAAGTCAGATCTTGAGGGAATGTTTTGTCTTGTTTTAAATTAGAAAAAGCATTTTTAACTCTAGTTGTTGTTCTAGCAGAGCCTTGCGTACGAATTGTGACAGATCCTGGCGTCGCCCCTGGGACTACTTTAAGACCAGGTCGGAATCCTTTGATCCTCGTTATAATTTTCGCAGGTCCCCTTGCTGTTATTTTGTAACTACCTTCTGTTTCACTGGATGGCTTTACTAAAGAATTAATTTCTTCTAATTCCCTTTCATGGCGGGCTTTTGCTATACATTCATGACTTGAGTCGTCTAAGTTGCCCTAAAATTAAATTTTTTATTATTAGTAAGAGACAAATAGGCAACCATAATATGAGTACTTTGACTCTCAACATTAATTCTATATAGTATATTAGTAACTGTTTTTCTGAAATAAGTACAAAGTAATTATACAGGGTGATTCATTGATAATAGTACACACCTTAAGGAAGGACTGCTGACGTCAAATTATAACAATTGAATTGAAAATGAATTATTCCAATATTGCTTTTTTTGTTCTACAGGATGTTAAAGTAAAATATTTTCGATTTTGCGTAATATTTTGAGTATCTCTGGACGAATAATCTTGCAAATTTGCTATTTAAATTATACCTGTCAAGGAGCATGTCAGATGTATTTGTATGAATATTTTGAAAAAAATTAGATCGAGATTTGTATGAATTTTCAGCACTCGAAAGCTAGAAATAACTATGAGCACGGATTTAAAACTCTAATAATGTTTTATTGTAACGTGTGATGATAATAATTTAAATAACGAGGTGGATTTCATAGGGTCTAACGACACTTAGAGTGTACGATAATTTAATAAACATAGAAATTAAAAAATTTAGATTTTGGAACGAATACATTGAAGATGAATTTTTCGAGACAAAACGTTTGACTCTG